GTTGCGTGTGTGGCCGGTCAAAGGATCACCGAGGACTCTTGGAAGTCAAGCTCGAGTATTCCATGAGGCGACGCGGGGCTTGAGGTGATAGCCTGTTGATAGCCCGTTCTCCCGCAAGTGCCGGGCCTTGTACCCTGGGAGGCGCAGGAGTGTCCGAGACATCACGCTGCTGGCGAGGTTGTCTCCAGCCCTGGAGTAGATTTTGCCGTACCCGGGCACCCAAAATGTCAAAGTGGTGCCGAGTCTCGCAGCGCATTCTGTGTGCTGCCAGTGGTGCTATTGCTCATCTTAGCACTGTCTTTCTGACTGCCTCACGAAACGAANNTGGTTGAAGGAAATTGATTCACATCCTCCTTTTAGGTCCATGATCAGTGCAACATGTCATGTTCATGCGGGGGCGGTTGCGAGTCATGTTTTGCTGCTTCACGTGAGCTGCCTGTGCCAATTCAACGCAGAACATGTTTCCTGAAGAGTTGTTGGTCTCTTTTTACATTTGTGCCTGCGTTGCTCAAATCAGCTGGTTCAAATTTGGTGGGAACGTACCCCACACTTCCACTATTGTTTCCAGCTATGGCTGTGGCGGCAGGGTACGCGTCCGCCGAAGGCTCTCCACAGGGAGCGGCATCGGGACAGGACCCTCGAGGACGTACCCAGATGTTCTGGAAACCCAAGATTGGCTGCCGCATCAAGGCGGACCTTCGTACGGGGCTTCCAGACTTCACTCACTACCTGGTGAGCCGATCCTGGGCAGATCGCCGTGCGCTCCGAACAGTTGGAGGTGACGGCGTTTCTACATATGCCCTGGATGGAGACCGTCGCATGCCCTTTACGGTCTCTGCCTCCTTCATCAAGCTCAAGCCGGTGAACATTCCAAGGTTTGGCTACCAAGATGATCCAAAAGCGTACTTTCCACATGGAGAGATGGCTGTTGTGAAGCTTCTGGAGGGCCAACTGGCATTCCTTTCGCATGTCAGGGATTACGAGATTCAGTCTGGCGCGAGGCTCTTACAGACCGACCTGACACGGCAGGAGCTGGCAGATATATCTCACGGGAGATTGGTGCCACTCTGCGCCTGAAGCACGACCACAGCTCGTGGTCGGTACGGTCGTCAAAAGACCTCTCGCGAATTCTCCGACATGATGCTCGTTCAGAATCGGTGACTTCTTAGACCTCAGATTGGAGTCCTTGCAGAGCACAAGCCTTCGGCCATTCGAATGGCAGCCTCGCAAGTTCTTCGCCTTTCTGATGGCGAACAGCAAGGGAGTTGTGGATCAACGCCTTTTCCTGTGCGTACGAGAGGTTCCTCGACTGTGACTTCGACGTCTGCATCTCCGCGCCCGGTGTCAGCAGTTGGGGTACATCTTTCACGCCAGTGACAACTCCAACTACAACTCCATCGAGAGAGAGAGAGAGAGAGAGAGAGCTATTGGTGGAGGCCACGAAGAAATCGTGGCAGAAACATCGCTTTGCTATACACTTCGTGTATGCTGGAGGAAGCGAAAGCCAAGGCCTGGTACGGTGATCAAGCATGGCTCGTATACCTTTTACGCTTGCCTCGACTATACCACCTACTTGCAGCGCGGGCATGAGCTATACCTTACCTCCAATGGCATGGTTTTGTCGTACGAGGACGTTGCTCCTATGTATTCCACTATCGGCCACCTCACGACCCGGGAGGTCTTCGCCGCGAGCAGAAGCAGACATATGCTGGGGTAGGCTCTCCACCGGGAGAGGGGGCCTCAGAGAAAGCATCTGCTTCAGCATCTGGATGCTCTTGACAGGGAGAGGTACCAGCTCGTGAAGTTCGTGCACAGCCTGCTGCGAAGAAGAGACCGAAGACTACTTCCGACGCATCGCCGTCAAAGGGAAGCTCTCCACGGGAAGAGGTACCCACGGTTGATGCGGAAGCTCTTCGGCGCCTCATTGAAGAAGAGGACATTCGGGCAGCTAAGGTCCGGGAAGCGGCGCAGACTGAAGCCGAGGGAAGTGTTCGCTATGCTTACCAGGCTGGCGACACCGTCCATGGCAAGGTCAATCCGTCGCAGATCCGGTTGCAAGAGGAGACGAAAGGAATCCTCAAGCGAGCAAGAACAAACCCGTGGCACCTCTTCAACCACGGCTTGCCGGCGACTCCTTCGTCAGAGTCACTCCGCGGGATCGACTTCCTGCGGAAACCGCGAAGCTTCTTGGCGACGCTTACAATTGGGCTACGTGGTTGCAACGTCCCATGTCGGGCTACTCTGTGCATTTCTTCTTGAAAGCATTTGAGCTCGGCAAGGCCACGGGTAATTTCTACAGCGAGATGACACTCAAGCCTCGACGCTACAGGCGGGGCTATGTGTCCCCATAGGAGAACGACAAGATTCGTTTTCCCCAAGGTCTTGCAAAGCTTCTTCATGACCTTCAAGACGCAGAGACCCCGGAGTTTCGGCCACTGGTTCGAGAGATTGGCTTTCGTCCGCCGCGTGACGATGACCCTCGCGATAAGCAGTCAAAGACCGACGATCCTGACTATGCGGATAACGCTGCGGATACACTCGCGTATAATGCTCTCCACTTGGACAGGGATAGATACCGTGAGACTGGCGACGTCAGGGAGGACTTCTCCTACCTGCGCGGGATCATCTCCGAAGCCCATGGCAAAGACTTCTTCGACCAAGTGGCCACTAGTTATGAGATCCGCAAGAAGTACATGGTGAAAACGGTGGAGGGCTACAACCTCTACGATTCGTCGTTAAAGGAGCCCTTCCATGCGCCATATATCCTCGCGGTCCTCAACTCTGCGCTTCAGAACACTAACGAGAAGACCTTCAAGAGCGACTTCGCCAAGAAGGCTTTGAAGGAGTTGGAAGCGTATGAGTCGATGAAGTCTCGTCAGGAAAACTCTTCGAGGAGCTCTTTACGCGGCCATATGGAGACATTGTGGTCGAGGAGTTTCTCGAGAACCTGCCGGGACCTGTCATCGAGGAGATTCCCGACGCTTCGGTTCCAATGGATACGTCAGAACCGTCCGGTGAACCCCCAGCGCACTTACCGCAAAGTAAGACGGCTGAAGAGGACACCAGCATACACCAGCACACCAATGGAGACGGACGCTCCAGAAAGCTCTCCACCTGGAGAAGCAGCTGGGGGCAAGGTCGAGAAAACCGAAAGCTCTCCACATGGAGAGGAATCGGAACCAACGAAGGATGCGCAAACGCACGAAGCTGACGGACCCAGCGACGAAAAGGCACAGGAAGCTCACCGCCGGGTGAGGAATCCATGCCTGACATTTCTCCCGACAAGGATGTTAAAGAGGATCAAGATGAAGAGCTACATGATCAATTCATCTGAGGGAAAGTCAAGACCGTCGTGGATCCGGAGAAGTTCGCCGAAGCCACCAGGACTGCCTCCTCCGCGGAGACAGAGAACGAGAAAGCGCTCGACAACCTGGAGGCTGAGAAGTAGAAGCAACCTCTCCTCAAAGCTCCCGAGTTTATTGCCTTCTGGCAAACACATCACATCGTCGAACGATCAAGCCCGTTCATGCGGATAGCTGATCAGGTAAACGGGTACGGCTACAACGGCATGTACCACGATGATGTGCGAACAGACCGTGTTGGAGCCTTTAAGGTTCAGCACACGCGATGGCGAGTACGACATCATCCTCACCAGCAGGAGAAGTTCCATCTCAGCGAGACAGAGCTTTTCGACTCCCTGGTGAAGATGCAACCGATCTATATGTGTCGGCCGTCGTGCAACGATTTGGTCTTTGGAGCGGGAGATATTCGGTCTACTCTGGACCATCATGTGATGGAGAAGGCTTCGGATATTCGTGCCTCAGCACTTGAGGTCATGTCAGGGCTCATCGAGAAGGTCAAGGAGCTTGACAGCCAACGCAAGCCAGCCACGAGGGAGGAGCTGTTGAACTACATGCTTCATACCTTCCTCTGCATGGGAGTGAGCCAAGAGGAGATCGGGGACTTGTCACTGGACAAGATGCCGAGTCCTCAGCTTTTCCGTTTTGGTTTTGCTGAAGATGCACCTGTCCCGGTGTATACCAGCAAAACAAAATATGCGGCGATGGTGCTCAATCTCAGCAATTTCTCCCGTGGCAGAAAGCAATCTGCTCCCAGCGTGTTCTCCGACAACATCGACTGGGACGTCACTGGAACAAGCCGAGGCTCTTTGATAAAATCGGTGGCACAAGCAAAGGCCCATCTATATTCCTTCTGCGCGAGGCAGGAGCGATCAACGATGACGAGTTGAGGTTCCTTCGTGACCGCGGGTGGCAGACTCAACGGAACAATGGAGGAGACCTTCTCGTCGGATGCCGTGCAAACAGGATGGAGTCAAAGATGGTACAGTTGGCAGGCTTGACACGAGTGGGGTAGCCCGCCATAATCTACTTTGTTCACACATGATCGTCGAGATCAAGTACGGCAACACCTTGCCAGCGAACCAAGGTGGCGATCGGCAAGATTTTCCCGACGCCGCTTTTACAGCTCCTTTGACGAGAGCCGGCAGTAACTCTATCCGAGTCTGCGTCTTTCATCTGGATAGGGGGATCGCTGGTGACAAGGTCGGCCTCGCCCGCGAAGCGCTGGCCACGATGTTTACGGACTGCCTGAGATTTCAGGTGGACCTCATCGGTGGGGATGCTAATATGCCTACCTACCGTGCAGCAGGTCGGAAGCAGGGCTTAGCAGACATCAAGGGTAGCACGTGTCAAAGTCTTCTGGATTATTTCCTCGAAGCATGGTCACGCTGCTCTAAGGTTGTGCCTCAATGCTGTCCGAAGCGCCAAACTATGACGGCAAACAGCCTCTGCCTGCTCAAGCAGTATGAGGACCAGTTCGGCAAGCCTTACAAGGAATGTTCACAGCCGGACTGGAACACCTTCCCGACGTTGGACCCGGTCATCGCCTCTGTTCTCGAATGGGGACACTCAATGGACGATGACCAATGGAGCAACTGGACTTCTGGACCATCGCCTATTCCGCGAGAGTTCAAGATCCACGTTTCTGAATGGGTCCTTAGTTCGTCATCAGCCGCCTACATGCTCAACGATCTGGACACCGATGCCCACACTCCACTTCTCATCGAGGTTCACGCGAACCAATATTCGGGAAGTCGAGCTAAGGCCTTGAATCGGAATCCTGATTCGGTCAAAGATGCGTCAGTTCGGAGAAAGGAGAGACAGAAGCTGAAGAAGGCAGCTGGGTCATCTACAGACCCCGCTACGGAGACAAGCTCACCACAGGGTCAGGCAGCCTCCGGTATTTCTAACACCGGCTCCAAAGGTTCTCAACGACCTCCAGAACCAGCACATCCTCCGAAACGAAAGTATGGCGGCAAGACCGGCGGCGAGAAGGGAGGCAAGTCCTCCAAGGGCAAAGACAAAGGCAAAGGGAAGTACTCACTAGGTCACGACTACAACTGGGAGTCGGATGTCATATATCTCAACTATGATCCTTCGACTCCCGTACCTCCTTGTGATCTCGACCCTTCTTTTCGTTTTATCTCCCAGACTGAAGGGCCACTGCGCTGGTATTATCATCATGATGATCCTATGCGTATGGCCTACGAAGAAGGGAGAAGACGTGTGAGAAGGGGCATGTACAACCCGATGTCTGAACTCGTCGATTGAACGCTTAGAGGAAAGCTTCTCACAGGAGAAGGTATCTTAGTGTAGTGCGGTTTCAGATCTTAAGAAGGTGCCTTTCACTCGAAGGGGAACTTCTTATGCCGGTATTGTCAGGGACATATATAGATGCTTTTCACAGGAAAAGATACTCTAGTCGCCGAGCCGCAAGTGCCATTGCTGGCAACAAGTGGAGCTAAGCTCTGCTTATTTCATTCAGTGTGCTTTCCAGGTAGAGGTAGCTGATCGCGTGGGCAAAACGTTTACATCAGTTTGAATCAAGATCCAGTTGAGTGTGCTCTGTTCCGTTTGTTTTCAGGAAGCTGTCTCCGGGAACTTTAATTTGTACAGGCAGAGTACTTTGTATAGTTTGTAAAGTCTTCACAGTCGTAGCTCAAGGTCACTCCGCTCATAATTCATTCTTGGGCAATAACAGGCTAGCAGAATGCCGACTCCACGGCCATGCCGTTCTACGGAATTTGTGCCTGGTTGAAACACTAGATGTTACACATCCAGGTGCCTGTCTGTTTGACGCATCACTTGTATCCATGCCTGTTGCTCAAGGTTCTAGCAGAGTACGATCTACAGCTGTGCGCCTGTAGTAAAAGAGACTCCTGTGTGCCTGTGTTCCTGTACGCCTTAGCGAGGGGATACACGCCCAGGTTACATCTCAACGTGGTAG